AAACAAACAACTCACACCTATGTTCAGTTAGGAGTGAACAATGAACCTGATCCTGCATGAGTTTGAGTGACTACGAGGGGAGAAGATGACCAGGAGTCTGACCAGGAGTCTGACCATCAAACTGATGACTTTCTTCCTGTAAGGCCGGGAACACTAACGCTGATTCCCTGTGCGGCTCATTTAAAGTCTCCACTTCATCTTTAGAAGAATGAAACTGTAACAAAACCTTAATCTAAACCACGACCGTCCTTCAGTCCAAACAGGCTAAAAAACGACGTTAACAAAACAAGCTAAAAAACGACGTTAACAAAACAAGCTAACAAACGACGTTAACAAAACAAGCTAACAGCGTATCAGACAGTATCAGATATGGGACTATCTATGATTGACAGTTTCTGTCGTGAGGCTCAACGTGGTGCAGCCTGGGCCGTACCTTCAGCTCCACTATGCTTTTGTTGTCCTTGGAGGTCAGTTTTGGGTCCTGGAAAAGTGGGTCCTCCACATAAATCAGGTCCCACTGATCGGTGGAGTAGCCGTCCAGGACGAACGCCACCTTGGTGACCACCGGGGGCTGCAGGGCCAGCTTAGCCAGAGACGGTGTGGTGCACTGGATGGAGGTCCTGTTCTCACCGAACACACAGCTCTGGAGAACAGAACAGAACAGAACAGAACAGAACAGAAGAGAGAAGAAGAGAATCAGTGAGAAGCAGCAGGTGATGTTCTCCTGTGTAGATGTTTGTAGAGAAGCTGCAAACGTGGCCTAAGGTTTGCTGTGACATTGTTGAAACCTGGATTTCAAAAGCCTTCTCCACACAGTGGGCTGAGTCCTCCATAAATAGAACCAGATATTTGTGTGTCGTTGAACAAAAAGAAAGACTCGGGGTGTTTTCAGTTTCAGTTTTTTTTTTTTTTCATGTCTCACTCTGGGTCTTAGGACACACAAAAGCTAGGAGGCCTACCTGGGCTACATCCAACATGGGACAAAGCGCGGTGGCAGCCTGAGGACAGGTGTGGAGACAGCAGTGAAAAAAACAGACAGTGTCTCAGATGTTGTTCTGAGTGAAAGAGGAGGCGGTCGGAGGACGAGCCCCGAGGGCCGCAGCTACTGCACGTGTTTATATATAAGAAACAACAGAAGAGCTGATTATTTCAGTTTGGGCCAAACTCCACACTGAAAGTTAAAAACGTTGACGTCACAACAGGCTGGTGTCACTGAAACAGTTCATTTATAATTTTGGTGTTTCACATTTGTTCTTCAGACTAAATAATAATGAAAAACGTTAGTTTTTCAGAGTGATTTTAAGGAACATTTCAGTCTTTTCTTGGTCAGGTTTTAGTTGCAGTGGTGACTGTAGGTCAGTGGGCAGGAAAAGTTGACGGACTTTGCAGCTAATATGTCTCTGAGAATAAAAGGGAAATCCTTCATTATGACGTCGTCATCATCATCATCATCATCTAAGGAACATTTCAGTCTTTTCTTGGTCAGGTTTTAGTTGCAGTGGTGACTGTAGGTCAGTGGGCAGGAAAAGTTGACGGACTTTGCAGCTAAAATGTCGCTGACAATCATCATCATCATCGTCCTCGTCATCGTCGTCATCGTCCTCATCACCGTCCTCGTCACCGTCGTGGTCGTCATCGTCGTCATGGTCGTCGTCATTGTCGTCGTCGGCGTGGGGGTCGCCGTCTTCGTCAGCATCATCATCATCGTCATCGTCGTCATCGTCGTCATCGTCGTCATGGTCATGGTCGTCGTCGTCGTCGTTGTCATCATCATCATCATCACTCTGATTATTAAACTTATTATTAAACTTAGTAAAAGTTAAGTAAGTTAAGTAAAATAACTTTGTAGTGTTTGCGTGTGTGTCCAGACTGACACTATCAGTGTTTCTGTGTTTAAGTTCAGGCAGGAACAACCACCGCGTGTGTGTGTGTGTGTGTGTGTCGTGGCTGATGTTGTTTACTCTGTCACTGAGGCAGAAGAATGGAAAAATAAAACTCTTAAAACACATGTCATCGTACACAGGTGGAACAGACCGGACTAGTTTGGCCGCCTGCTGACAGACGTGATGGTGTGTGTGTGTGAAGACGTGATGATGTGTGTGTGTGAAGACGTGATGGTGTGTGTGAAGACGTGATGTGGTGTGTGTGTGTGAAGACGTGATGGTGTGTGTTTGTCTACTGAGCTACAAAGACAGAAGTGTCTGTTTGAACACCTTCACAAATGTTCTAAAACACCTGTACGTTGGCTAGAGAACGAGAAACAAAAACCAAAAGGCAATGAAAATAACAAGTGCTGTGCTAAAGGCTAACTAGCTAAAGGCTAACTAGCTAACCAGGAGAAATGTGGAATGTTAGCCAACAGCTAAAAATGTTTTTTGTCTGGAAATTTCCTTAAAATAATATCAGGAATAATTAGCCACAAATAAAGAT